TGAATCACACATCGGTAATATTTTTTAATTGTGTTCATATAAAAACATTTGTTTAAAATAAAATTTATCAATTAAACAGGAAGAATTGCACGGATAAACCTTATTCCCACTTAGGTGAAGGGTCGTTGTATCTGTCGGCAAGAATTGGGGCATTTCGGTTAGGCCGCGATGACTACAATTAACCGAAATAAAAGCTATAAGTTGCTTCTGCGTGGTTAATTTGCCTCTAACCACGTAAATCAATTCGCAATCGCAAACCGTCTTTTTGCATTCCTTCTTCAATGTCTGAAAATCAGATTGATTTAGCGGAATGCGAGAACTCAACGCAAGAGCTTAATTATCAATTATCAAGAAAAGGATGTATTTTCTCGTTACCGCGATTATCTCGACGATCGGGACAAGTGGTCTTCCATCATACGGCGTGGCGCAAAGTAATTTGTCTTTGTCGACGACTTTACTCGCGGCTGATCCTTCACTGGAGTCCAAAATCCACGCTATATCTTCCGTACATCTCAATGGATTACCTTCATCAGTACATCTTCATTAATTATCCACGATGCGCGCATCAAACGAACGTAAGTTTGGTTAAACAATTTATTAATTGCACATGAAAAATCTCTAAATTATATAGCGTAAGTTATAAAACTTGATATAATTTTGGTTGGCACGTCTCTTTCAAATTATTAGCAAGTTATAATTTTGTTTTTATTTTGTTCGTTAAAATTAAAGCGAGATAAAATTTTATAAGAGATTTTTGTAGGTCTCTTGTAAAAATTTCAACTATTTACTCTTACCAGTCAGATGAATGTGCTTTAACGCGGATACATTGAAAGCGGTAACGCTGATCTCTTCAAGAGCGTTGTTTCTCAGATCGAGACACCTCAAAGCCCGCAGATTCGAGAACGCATTTTTCGGTAGTGCACGCAATTTCGTGCCGGTGACATTGATTTTCTATCGATATAACTCCAAAACTCTCGTAAATATTCTCGAGGCAAAATGCACGCGAGAGAAATAGATCTTGCGACAAGTACGAATTTTCATGATCAATATCTTCCGAGATAGACCGCTTAACTTCTATTCTATTTCTCATTGACAAGGTAAATATTAAAATTGTCCAATTGTCAAATTGTCCATGAAAATTCGAATAAGCAGCTTTAATGAAATCTAGATAAAGCCTCCCAAGCGTTTGGCAAGCATTCTCTACCTCCAGAAATTGCGTCTCGCTCGAAAATGCGGTTGACAATCGAGTTAGGTTACTGTTCGCGATCATTAACTTTCGTAAAAACGTGAATCCCCGTAGAATCTCTTGAGGATCAAACGTCGTTTTCGGCCACGTGCAAAGGATAAGTATCTGCACATTTTCAGCCCTAAAAATTCGATATTATCTTGCACCTTTAAAAAAAACTTTGAAATATTAAAGTAATACCAAATTAAATTCGAGATACTTCGAGAAAGCAACGTCGGCTCGTTAATCGTTCAGAAATTATTAAAATACCGAATTCCCATATTTTGTGGGCTTTATTTTCAATATTATTAATTTACCTTGCTCGCCATTCATCTCTAATACCGTTGAAACAAACGAGACGTTGCCGACTTTTCACAAAGTCGCATTCGGAATGATCGTCGGCGTGCGAACGATACCAATAACAGATATCGTCATCTTTCGTAAAACCATGCGAATGACGTGTATACGTAAGAAACAGCGCGATTCTGCAAATAAAACAAATTTAATTACTACATAACCGCGAGGAATTTCGAAGAAGCCGAATTAACGGCCGCGGGGCCGTCTCGCATGTGTTCTCTAAATGAAACCCAAGATTAGCCACATGGCTCATTATGTTTAAACATCTGCGCATAATCACACGGGGCATGATTTACTCCTTATTCAACAACAAGTTTGTTTAACGATATTACGAAAATTCGTGGATTCTGGCGGTGGAGGTGTGTGACGGAAGTGACTGAGCTGGGCGTGAGAGATTTATAATCTTTATTACACTCGGCAGCTTCGTTATTTGCTCAAGACGCGATAACGAGACCGATACACCGTTATATTCGCCGGCATTAACTAACTCACGTACATAATTTAATATCTCGCATTTATTATCCTTCCAACTTTTTTTCGCGCGCCGCGATCGCCTTAACTTATCTTAGTGCTCGAAGCACCCTTCGCGATCGATTAGCTGTCACTTTCCAAACAATTTGCTTTCACGCTTAAGCAGCTCGCCTAATGAACGCGAGCTAATCACGTGACGCGAACGCGCCTCATTATGCTTGCCTTTGATCGTCAACGCAACATTGTCGCGCTGATACCGAATATCTTGCAAATATTGTTACAGTTATCTCTCCGTCTAACGATGGACCGTCCTTCGTACTCGAGGAAACCGGTTATGAATTTAACATTAATATATCATTTATTAATGATCAAGTATGCCTTTTTCTATTTATATAATACACGTAGTATTTATAGATCTGAATTCACGAGAGAAGAAATATGATGCCTTTCAATTGTACTATTAAAACCCGATCGTATTAATTACTGATGGACTTGACGGGCAATTAAATTAAGTTATAAATAAATATGTCTATATTACTCCGTATCATAAAATGTTTAAAGCATTCTTTTAAAATATTAACACGTTTTATAGTTTTTAAATTAAATCATAAATCGATTTGCTGATTGTATGATCAATATTCAATATCTTACACGATATTTTATGCTATTTTGAAAAAGTTATTGCGAACGTAATTTAAGAATTATATATTAAAGTTTATGTAAAATGTTAAATGCAGAATGCAGAGGAAAGAAAAAAAATTATATACTCACAGAAAAATTCGTCGCGCTGCCATTTTTGTCACATAAAATTTTATGTAATATTAAAGTATATTACAAATGAATACCAGTGTGTTTTCAATCTATTTGCTCAAACAAGTGTTTGTTTATAAATAAGTATCATAATTTATAAAAAATATTTTTAATATCACTTGGCACTTCTTTTTTAGCACAATACCAATTAAACGAGTGTGACCGCGATGGATGAAGAATGATAATAATGCTAATAAGAAAATAGAAGCTGTATTCGGCTCGTCAGCAAGTGGATAACTAAAACGATCCGATGGCTTAACGTGTAATGAACATATTGCGTGATAACACCCGCGGAAATATGATCTATCTGATGCAGCGATGCATATTGCGATAATACATTTTTCAAACAGTGGAAACGACGACGTCAGCCGGCAAGCGACACTCGCGTTATTACAAATTTCATGAAACATTTATAAAATACAAAGACATTCGAGACCCAATATATTATTAGATTTTTATAAAGTTACTTCCTTTTTTGTTGTCAAAGATTGATATTATATATTTTCATAAAAAATAATTTAGATAAAACACGTGTCAAAACTTTTATCTAATGAAAAACATTAAAATTAACTTATGCAAATATAAATATATTTAAAATAAATATGCAAACTAAAATCTTATAATAATGAAAGATAGAAGTATAAAAAAATTCAATCGTAAAAATTTAATATCACGATGCAACTTGTCAAAAAAATTCACGAAAACATTTACATTCATACAACTAAAATTTGAAAAAAATATGAATATAACATGATATATTTTAAACAAAATAAAATCGTAATATTATAATTTTTTAATTTATCTATCTCGTATAACATGCTCTAAAAGATGTCTCTAAAAGATGTCTCATAAATGTTATTACAACATTTTAAAACAGCATAATCATAAATAAAATATCTTCAGCCCTATTGGATCTATTAAGAACTTTTAAGAATAGTTATTTAATATAGAAATTGTTAATAAAAATATTCTAATCTATATTATTAAATTATAAAATCTTCAAATCTGTTTTTTTTTTGCTTTCTAACATCACTTCAAACAATCCTATCGTCATTAATATTTAACTTGCATAAACAGCAACAGTTTTGAATTGCGAGCCATGCGCGATTAACTTGTGGACTAACAAATCAATGAGCTGGACAAGTTTGCAACTCATTCTATTGGCGCACGTCTGCAGATGTGGCCCATAAAAAAAAACCGGTCTACTTTATCGACCGAGTCACCGTCGTCATACGGTCAGTTTATCCGGTAAAATTCACAATCCTAACCGTGCGTACGCCAACAAATTCGTGGCGCTTTTACGAACGCGATCGGCGTGTAACCCTCTAGTTGGCCATCGGCTGCACCCTCGCGAGAAAACGTACTTTTCGAGTTCGCCCGTCGCTCATCGGCGTCCGGCGACATTCAAATTTCGAGCAGCAGCATCGCCCGCAAGACCCGAGGCACGTCGCGGGCATTAACGGAACGTGGGGCGCCGTTTCGCATCATCCGGCCGTGAGTGTTTTCCCGTCCGAAGATCGTCGCATCGTCGCGGACCTGATGTCAGGCATCGCGATCGCCAGGCTCGCCGAGGAGCGAAAAGCATGGAGGAAGGATCATCCGTTCGTGAGTTTCCGCGTCCCTGCTGCGTCGTACGCGCGTTCTCTTCGCGGGAACGCGCCATCGGAGTCGTCCCGTTTGGCGCGCGCGGAACGCGTCGATCGCAATCCTTCGTTGTTCTTCGTGATTGTAAACAATGGACCGCGTGTCGGTTCGAGTCGAAAATGAGAATTCGCAAAATTGAATTTCGTCCGTTTTAATTATTGTCAAGCGTGTCTCGTGACACCCTTGAGTATTTTTCATTTTGTCTTCTCGACGGAGAAGAAAAAGAATTTTAATTTTTAATTAGTAGTAAATATGTAATATAATCATGAAAACTATGAACAACTGATTCCAACTTTTGAAGCTTATGGGAATATCTCGAAATCTTGAGACACTCGGAAACGCAATATCTTTATCGAGTTATAAATTTTCTTTGGATAATGCAAGGACAATTGATCATTTACAGGGCTTCGTAGCTAGACCAACTAAAAATCCAGATGGTTCCCTTAATTTGATGAGTTGGGAATGTGCAATACCTGGAAAAAAATCTGTGAGTTGAGTTGCTTTGCAGTTGTTTATACATCATTTTATGCAAATTTTATATTGAATCCATTGCTTTGTAGACTCCCTGGGAGGGTGGTCTTTATAAACTACGCATGATTTTCAAAGATGACTATCCATCGAGTCCACCAAAATGTAAATTCGAACCTCCGCTGTTCCATCCAAATGTTTATCCATCTGGTACTGTCTGCTTGTCACTTTTGGACGAAGAGAAAGACTGGCGACCAGCTATCACGATCAAGCAAATTCTTTTGGGAATTCAGGATTTGTTGAATGAACCAAACGTGAAAGATCCAGCTCAAGCTGAAGCATACACAATATATTGGTATTATTTATAGAAGATATATTTTCACTATGAAAGTATCAATACTTGAGAGATAATTGAACATTTCTCTTTACAGCCAAAATCGTCTGGAATACGAAAAGCGCGTTAAAGCTCAAGCCAGAGCGATGGCCCCCCAAGAATAAATCACAAATGTCAAATCGATGTATTTAAAATATGTGAGAAAGATATTGTATGTGGATAATATTTTCCTGAGCTGATCTCTAGCTCTTTACACTTAATCTTTTTTACGAATAAAATTAATATATGTTGTAACTAGTTAAGCGATTTATATTCTTGACGTTTATTTTTCAGATATTACTTTCATTCATCGTATATATACTTTTAAGTTTCAGAACGTTGCGTTCACATCATGCAAATGTAGAAATCAACACATATGAATTCTTTCGCACATAAATAATTTCTTATTAATATTAAGAACTATATTATGAGATATGTACTTTAAGATAGAATTATTTTTTGATCGAAACTTTAATTTTTAAGTCTTATAAGTGATTACCGATGTTATTTTTAAAATAGAAATACAGGCGAGACATCAAACGCAATGGCAACAAGTGTTAAATAAATATCGATCCATCTTGGATTCTCTATTAGTTCCATCCTTGAATGTGAGAAAGTAGAAAACGTATAGGTATGATTATTTTAGAGTTTACTAAGTAATGTACAAATCTCAGAGAAAAATAAAAGATTCTGATCGTGAACAGAGTCTGATGATCGCACATGATAAATATGATCCTTGTACTCGTTCAGAGTCCTAAATTGTACGATTATATGCAAACGAATTCCGATTGGTTTCCGCGCTAGCGAGCGCGTGTTTGATGAAACTTAACTCGACGCGACGGCGTGTGAGCACATGTTAATATCCCTTATATCGATTCTCGTTATCGGCGTCACGTGTTATTCAAGCACGACGCCGAAATTTCTCGAAGTAAGTCTGGAGATCATACGAACACTTGACCATGTTGTCAGTATGTTGAACACCGATAACACCGACGCGGTACAGCATGTACTCGACGTGGTAAATCTCGCAGTATCCGACAGTATCTCGCAGCGAGGAAGAGTTGTTTCGTCGCACGATGTCGGCAGTTGGGAATTGTGCGGTGCAAAGATACAACGTCGGGATCGTGTTCGCTTGCGCGATTGGTCTCGGATTGTCGTACTATGCGTACGCCGTGGAAACCAAAAGGGAGCAGGACGATTCGTACACGCCGTTGTGCGACATCTCCGAACATATCAGCTGCACCAAAGTGTTCATGACTGAGTAAGCGTCCAAATGTTGCCGCGTCACGGTGTAATTGCGCTTGAAAAATTTCTTTCTACCATATGTTTGGCTGCGGAAAACATGAGTTTCACATTAATCTATAATTTTGTTCTGTTCTTTGAATGATCGTTCGACCCTACTCTTTTCTATTTATCGAGTGCTCCTCGATGTTGCAACGTGAACAAGTTCGGGGGCTGTGATGTTGAAAGGCAAAGCATAAACGCAAGCTCCGTGTTAAAGAAATATTTTTTGAGAATTTTTAGATGTTATATATTTCATAAATATCACAATATTATATATATTTTTTACTAATATTGATACAACATTCGTTCGATTGATATCATGAATAATAAATATATGAGAAACAAAGGACATTGCCGTCACATGAAAAATTTCACGTCTAGAAGATTATTCTTCTTATTGGCTATCAACCTGGAATATATTTTTTTTTAATTTAGGGAATATTTGGGATAACAGGCACATACAAACGTCATTATTTTATTTCTAGTATCTAAGAAAATATTCCGATACATTATATACATTCATGAACAAAGGCCACATTTAAGAAACACAACGATATTGTGTAACACATTAATTCATGAATGTAATTGGTCAAAGATTGGTTCAAGGATCTAAAGACCAGCAATGGCTGTATTCAGCAGAAAAAGCGGGTGATACCCGTTTGACCACGTCCCGATTGACCACTAGTCACTCACAGGGGCCAGCGTCTAGAATTTTTCCACTGTTCAAGCGTTGTGAGTGGCTAGTGGTCAATCGGGACGTGGTCAAACGGGTGTCACCCGAAAAAGCAGTTTTCCAACTGTTGGAATATTTTTTGATACGATTAGTTTATATATTATTTATATATTATTGGTTTATATATTATTTATATATATATATTTAGATCCAGTAAGGAATTAAGGGCAAAAACCAATCATATTAAAGAATCTTACATGGTTACAGCTATTGTTTTATTGAACAAGCTATTCTTTATTATGATGGTTTTTTACACTTAGATTTAACGAAGATCTAAAAGCAAGAACCAATCATATTGAAAAATCACCGAATGCTCACTGATTTGCTTTTTATGCTGAACGCAGCCATTATGACACCATGAATTTGGCCATACTGACTGCTCTTTTCAACCGCGCGAATTTTTAAATGACACACTTTGAAATTTATGAAATCTAAAGAATAATATAGACAAAATACGAAACGATTATGAAATCATGTGAGGGATAATGATCGTCAATAATTGGAAGATTATTACAGGTAGATATGCAAAAACAAAAAACTAATGCATTGTTTTTCAGATTTGGCAAAGGGTTTGGACTCTTCCCGAAAGATTCTGTCTTTAATGTTCCAAATTCATTATATGGTCTAGCATTTTATACTCAGATTGCAATTTTAAGTATGTGTATATTTATATTGGAATTCGCTACGCGAATGTACTTTATGTATTTTATGAATAATGAAATTTTTTTTCAGGTATGAGTAATAATTACACTTGTTCGATTGTCGTTATTGCTTTAGGAATAGTTTCTAATATTTTTTCCTTGTATTTGGCTCATATATTGTATCTTTATAGAGACATCTGCATTGTTTGCGTTAGTACATATATTGTAAATGCGGTAATAGTGTTTCTCGCCATTAATAAATTCCGAAAACTAGATAATATATGCAAGAAGAAGAAGAAACAATTTTGAAGAGATTAATTGCATTTTTTCATGTTTGACCAAGAAGATATCATAATAATTTGTAACTAACATATTATTTTCTAGAATTTATACATATAGATTTTTTTAGGTAGTAATAGACTTTTTTTCTATCAGAAAAAGGTTAAAACATTATTCCACATTATACAATACAAACAATCTCATGATTTCTATATTACAATTTACATACTATTTTAAATAAAAAATTAAAATATAAATGTAACAAAAATATAAGATCTCTCGTGATATATATATTTATATTATATTATTGTAAATCAACAGCGTAAACAATATAAATAATATCGCATCTATATGAAACTTATATATTCACTTATTAATAAAATGACGCTGAAAATGTATAGATACTATGTATAGAATTTCCCGCGATATCCTTTAAAGCTGCTATTTTTATTCCCAATTATTTATGGAAAAAATATATTGTTAAAAGAAAATATTAATACGAGGACAAGAAATATAATGCGCACGGAACATTCTATACATTATCGAATGTAGCAACAACTTTTGTATATTTTGTTTTATCAGAATGTCTAATTTAATTATCGAACATGTGGCATTAAAAATATACGAAATATTTTTCTAATATTTAAGAAGGTTTATCGATTCTATTTTAATATTGTATTTTATACGATTTCAAAGGAGACGATTCTCGATGTTCTCGATTCCGAATAGATTTGATTCACATAAATCACTCGTGAAATATCATATATGAACAGTAGAACTTACTCTTCTCGGATAATACGAATAAAACATGAATAAAATTCTAGTTTTAGCACCATTTACTAATTTCTCGAACAATATTTCTATGTGTCTATCTTAATCATCTTATTTATGTCACGTCGACAATATTCCACGTTAAAATGTCTGACGAAATGATACGTGACGACTGTGAAGTCGACTGTTTAATGAGGATAAATTTAAAAATTTAATGTCTATAAATATTAACATGTGGTTATCAGTAATAGTAATTGAGGATGGCGGTAGAAAAGAAGAGAAAGGAGAAAGTACAAGGCACAAGATGAAAAAAAACGCTCACAAGGATTTCTTGAAGTCTAAAATAAAATCCATTACTTTGTCCATTACTTTGTGTAAAATCCATTACTTTGTCAAATTTTAGCCTTTCGCTTAGACCATTTATATTTTGGAAAGGAGGCTCTTTATACACGCATGTCTATAAGGAGAAGGAGAGAGAGAGACAATTCGGCGTCCAAAGAGGAAGGATATAATTTATTACGGTGCCGACGACTACCTCAATATTTACCGTCTCTTAACAGATCCCTGTTACTACGGCTGATGCTGGCGAGAATGCCGGGGCTCTTGAGCGGCGGCGTCTCGTCCAGCCGGTTCAGGTGCAAATTGGAGGTATATGGTGCGCGGGTCGGCGTGTCGACGCCGCTTTTGTCGGCCTCGACGTTGAAGCTTTTGCTGCGCGACAGCGACGATTTATATGTACGTTCGGGTTTTGGCGGCGCCTGAAGGGTGCTGTACGCGGACGTGGTGGTGGCGTTCATTTTCGGCGACACGGTGTTCACCGTGTTCTTGATCGATATGTTGATCATGCTACTGTGCTGCCGACTGGCCTTGCCGGAGCTTGATACGCCGTGCCGGCCGATGTTCACCTGGTGCCGCCTGGTCTGCGAACGGGCCGATTGTCCACCACCGGCGGAATGCAGGCTTCGCGGTAACGTCTGGGTGGACCGGAAGTGCTCCTCCCTCTCGTAATCGCCGGCCAGTTTGCTGGTGGACTTGCTAAACCTGCCGAGGGAGCTGGAGGCCACGCTGAAACGCGGTCGTTTCCGAAAGGTGATTCCGAGGATCTCTGCGGACTCTCTCTCGTCGGCTCGCGACGACGATCGAATGAGCCTACCGAGCCATATTTACGTTCGATTTCATGCGTCCCTTTTCATGCAGCCTTCACCCGAAATCGAAGCACGGATTCGCCGGGATGCGACTTAAAGATACCCAAGCGGCCCGCTTTTAGGCATTCCCACTTCGGTTCCTGAAGCTTGCGCAACTAGTCTTTGGCGATCGAGCGACATGAGAGAGCGAGTTTGTCGTCTATTCACGACGGCAGATTTCGATCGGGAGACAAATTTTTACTGACGATATGTGAAAGCGTGAAATATCTTTGTGTAACGCTGTGTCATTTCTAAGAAACGTTTCGTTTTTCGCACAGATAGATCTGTGCGAAAGAGAGTGTCTCGAATTAAATTAACCCTCTCGCACTTTCAATTTCCAATAGATTTTTCCCTTGCAAAAATTGATTATCCTTCACATTTTGTTTAATATTCCTCTTTCTAACGTGTCTCTATATTTTGAATTAAAATTAAGCTTTTCAAGATAAATCTCATTCGAATTGCTGTCTGATCAGTGTTTATAACACTTAATCCATAAAATCCTTATTATAATTAATTATTCTCTAAACTTTAATTTAGAAAAGACAAGGGATGAATAGAGAAGGCCTGTCACATTTTATAATTTCCTGTAATATCCCACATGTCACATGTTAATAAAGATATTTCACTTGCGCAATAATGGGCTAATGGGCAATGTCAATTAAGCGCAATTTGATTGTAAGTGGGAGAGAATTTATCAGCCAAAATTTGTCTCACTCTCGCGTAACTATGTTGTATTCCGAGGACTTCGGTTACCTGTGTTCAGAATCTACGGCAATTTTACCGGAGCCGCGCGGTCTTCCGTATCGCAGCCGATCTCTGTCGTCTTCGTATCCTTTTTCGCGGCCGTAGATGCTGCCGCCGAAGGGATCCTCGCCCAAGTAATACCTCTGCAAGGGTGGCGGCGTGGACTCGTTGCGTTGCCATTGCTCTTGAACAATATGATCAGCCGTTCTGATCGTCTTCGTGACTTTGTTCGATGGATTGGCATTTCGTGGCGATCGCGGTGGTCTCTCCGGTGGTTTGTCCTCCGTCGTGTCCCGTTGTTCGCTGACAAAAGGAATATTTCTGTCTATCACGTTGTATTGCAAATAGGTCGGTCCGTTGTCGTCGGTCTGCGTCAGTTGCGAGGTCGAACCGCCACTGGTCCGTTTGTTCTTTCTCTCCGTACTGGCTGAACGTAACTTGCCCACTAGTTTGCGAAAGGATTCACCGATCTTGTACTTAGGTCCATGACCTAAAATGAATGGATTTATAGACAATATCTTACAATAACATAACATGTAAACAAATTATAATAATAATAATAATAATAATAATAATAATACTTTTATCAATTTTGCTATCAATATAATTTTATCGTTAGCTTTTATTAATTATTTTTATAATTTGATTATATTAATACTCGATTTAATTAGAGCGCTTGTAATTACAAATTTACAATTAAAGTAATTAAAGTAAGGCTTTTATCTCGAATAAATTGCGAAAGAAGACTTACTCTTCGACGCTCGTAAACTGTCCGATTTTTTCTCTTCGCGACCGTTTATCGGCGATTTCGGCGAGATTGATCGCGATCGTGGTGAAGTGCTCCTATAATTATCGCGTTCGGATGTCTGTGCTTGAACGTCGCGATTACGACTTTCCCAAGTTCTTTGCACCACATGTATTGGACTTGAAGTACGACCCAATGACAGCTCGTTTGAACTAACCTTCTCTTCGGATCTTGCCCACTACAAAAAGATAAGCAATGATCGAATTCCGTATATTATGTAATAAGATAGTGAAGAAGAATTTTAAGATATTATAATATAAATATAAGATATTATAATATAAATTAATTAATCATTCAATATATATAATCACGAATCGTAATCATCTAATAATGAATGAGAAAGAAAAAATAATATAATAGCAACAATTTCTCGGAATTAAATTATAAATTTTCATTTAATATTTTCTTATAAATTTTGAAATATTTGGTATATAGCATGACGAGGGAGAAAAATATTTGCACCTGTTCTTTCGATCTTCGACGTATCGGTGGGGATGGTGTACGTTGACGTTCCTCGATGGGATCTTGATACTCGCGTCGAAACGATTCGTAAGTTTTCGAATATGATGATTCAACTTGATTTCTCTTATGCCCATGGGCATGTCCGTTGGTACGTGAAGATTCCATGTACCGAACCGGAGAGTTTGATCGCACATGATTTTGTTTCTCTGTGTAGAATACATTATATTCATATTATGTCGAACTCGTATCATTTAATTTTAACACGATCGGAAATTACTTCCCCTATGTATAATAATACATCTATATTATCTCTTTCTAAAGGAATTTTATGTCTTTATATTTTATTACATGACTAATGTTATACGTTATGATACAAAATTTGAGATTTTATTTTTAAAATTAATATTCTAAAAATAAATTTTTTTTTTCATACCTTTTCCTTGATATCGTTCCGACCATTCGCTGATACCATGAAAATATCCTGAAGGCGAGTTCGACTCTCGACCACGTCGCTGATTGCGACTGGAACTCACATTCTGATAATCGCGTTCTTTAGGCGTGCATGATTTCATGGTGACGTTGATATAGCTCGTGTTAGTACCAATCGGCAGAGGAGAGTCATCGGCATCGAGAGACCCATGCGAAGAACGCGAATCGCTGCCGAAATGGCTCTCCAGCCATTTCGACGTTTCAAATTTCCTCGCCTCGTCCTCCTCCTCTAGATCCAAAGGCTTTTTTGTCAAAGCATCCTTCCGGGCGGCATCCGAGAAACCTGTAATAATAATTAGCGGAGAAATACTTCAAAATCACAATAATAAAAGTAATTTTTATTGAAAAAAATTTTTTTCCATAGAAGATAACACATAGTGGTCTTGAAGATGGAAGAGGAATTAGAGAATTTATCGGCAATTAGATTTTATACTTTGGTACCAGGTGTGATTATTCGTTATCGCCCAGATCGAGCATTCGCAGGCATGCGGCACGCACTAGTGATAGAAAACGAAATAGAGAAAGGCGTAACGTACCGGGATATTTGTGAAAACGAGTCGTCCGCATGCCCGTCGGTGATGGTGACCAGTCGCCTATTCGTTCTCCTTCGATTGTCTCTGCGACGTAGCGCATTTCTCGGCCGACTCTCTCGCCGGCCGAGATGTAGTCCACCACGTCCTCTTCTCTCCTCTTAACGTATCTCTGCGAGCTCTCCTTCTTCGTTTCAGAGGCGTCGTCGTCGTCGTCGTCGTCGTCGTCGTCGTCGTTCTTCCCGTCGTCCGGGACCTCGTCGTCGTTAATCTACAATGAAATTTCACGTCCCTTGTTACTTTCTTCTTTTCACATTTCATGTAATAGAATAATATTTTATTACGTAAATATATTAAATATAATAATTAAGTATTCTTTTATACAATATGTAAAAGGAGCAAAGCTAAGTGAAGTCGTGGAGAGAGAAAAATGGAGAGAAGGCGGAAATATTATCAAAGCCAGTTTTTGCTGTCGCGACTCACCTCTTCGTGCTCGACCGTTCGCTTCTTCTCGGTAACGATTAATCCATCAGCCTTCAGTTCCTTTTTCTCCAAGGTCTTTTCGGTGTCGATGACTTTGTTTGACCTAGTCGTGTGCTGAATGACCCGCGGACCGGACCGCGGTGCCAGTTGTTTCGAAGATTCGGCGAGGGCCACTCGCAGATCGCCCCTGTTGTTACGCACCGCTTTCTGGTACGCCTGAAAACCAGACGCAGGAAACGCATTTAACCCTCCGATCGAACATTCGCGATCGGTTATTGTCTCCGTGCGAGTCTTCTTCCCCTGTACGCGTATCCCCGTCACGATAAACTGGTTGATCCGGTTGCGCCTGTCTTTCTCTTCCTTCCGCGAAAATGTATCGCTTTGAAAAGGAACACGACGATCAAGAAACAACTATAGTGGAGCAAGTGCACGCGATCGTGTAGTGATAAACGCATAACGATATGACGTATGAGAGAGAAGACGCGATAAACTAGAAAATCATCGCGCTCTTTAATTAGTGGGACACATATTTGACATGCAGATAGCGTCTAAATTACTTGAACTTAATAACAGAAAAGCGGCGACGACGACGATAATTATCGGTTACCGCAGCTTCGTCGTGTCGGATTAAGGCAATCGTAGCGATCCGCGACATTCGTCAATTATTCAATTAGACAGCAAAAATACTTTCATATGCTATCATTTTAATCTTAATATTGATTTAATATTTTAAGCTCTCGTATTCTCGCTTATTACATTTATATATCTACGGTCTTTCCTTTTGTAAATATCGACATGAAATATACATTCGACATATGTTACATGTCGACAGTAATTTTTTTTCCTAAATATCTATTGAAGTGAGATGTACACGTCGACCCGTCATGCTATTAAAAAAGATGTCTATGCGTGTCGTCGGAGAAAGAAATTAAAAATTGCATAAACTGCCGGTTACGATGACACGACACGATTCTCCGACCTCCGACGGAATAACGACTCCGGTATTCGAACACGCCGAGGACGATGACGAGCATGACGAATGATCACGATACACATCAGAAAAAAAATTATTCACTGCCGTGCGACACTACCTTCGATGAAATCTGGTCTACTCGCGACGGGCGTGTTACGCGCTTCCCTCGGAACGAGTTCGCAATCTTGTCCAACGTCAATGCGAGCATTAATGACTAATACACCCTTCGCAATTATCTCGCTCGGAAGGAAACGACACGTCCCGTCGGCCTGTCGAGCGGCGCGTGTCCTTTTTTTCCGCGGAGCGATTGTCCCGGCGTCTCTCGCGCGAGGACGAGGACCTGGTCCTGCCCGACGACAACAACGACGAGAAATCTTAAGACCGCGGCGGCGGAGCGGCGGAGATCCCGACGGGAATTCTCGCGGGAAACGACAATCCGCGCCGATTCCGCCGGGAGAGAAGGAGCGCGGGACACTATCGCGGTCGAATTCGCGGCTGATCGCACCCGCGGTCGAGAGAACAGCTGCTGAGACTGCGGGCATCTCATGGCTCTCTTTTCATCGCCATTGGGTGAAGGGAGAGCAAAATCGAGAGATCATCGACTTCCACTCCTTGAGATCCCTTTCCCTCTTCTCTCCTTCTCTTTTCGTCTCTCGCTTTCCGCCATCCCCTTTCTTCCTCGCTCTCCCGCCTCTCCCTCTCTCGCCTCCCGTCCTGGTTCGCCGTTTTAACTCCGTCCTTCCTTCGTCCTCTTCGTCCCAGAACGATTCGACCTCCTCCGTCCTGAATCGTTCATGCGCGCGAGAGCGTCTTCTCTCTCCTGAGTATATACCTGTTGCCCGCGTCTTTCGCAATCCGCCGGGTACTCCTCCTCTCGGAGGAGTATCCCCGCGAGATTTGTGAAATCTCGCCGCGATTTACGTGGATGCGATTGCACGCCGCATAGATCAGAAGGAGAGTGAGAGACCTTTTTTTTTTCTGTACTCTACAAACTATTCCCGGACTTGTATATTCACGCTAAATGCCCGTTAAATACGCAATGTGTTATTATGTCATTCAGAAAGTGACACGGTCTATTGCTATTACGATGTCAAATGACGTAAACGTTGCCAGCTAACTTAGTTCTTAATTCAACAGTTTGCGATTAGCGTCAGAAATGTACGCGATAATCACAAGCAGCCATCGGAAACTGACATGTTATTTTACAAGCGAATGAACGGTTGTGTCTCTCATGAGAAGCAGATAAAACGAAGGGGAACGTTTCTAATCTAAATACAAGATGCTCCGCGATCGTTATGTGAGAAAGCTCTTGAAAGATCTTTAAGGTTTACTTTAGAGATACTCTTTAGAGACTCTGTATCACTTTTATCTTTCCCAACCCATATTTTTGGCATGTAAATCCCGGCAAGAGGCCCCACAGAGAGAAATATCCCGCTCGTGCCTCCTTTCTTCAGCTTCAGAAATTATTTCGTAACGGCGCGGAGTGAGTATACCTGGCGCCGTGCTGATCGAATCTCGAGCCGAGCCGAGACACGACGACCGGCGCGAGCCGATCGTCAGACGGGACGAGTCTCTTTCGAGAGGACAAACGCGGCGCGACCTTTTCGCGGTAAGAGAATGCGCGTACAGGCCGTGCTTCACGTGGCACGCGCAGGTGGAATTCAGGTGGGTGTGGGTGTGTCGTCGGTCGCGGTGTGCACCGCACGTACCTCGTCCGAGATATCTCCCAGCTGCTGACGATCCTCGGTCTCGAGCCTCTCCTCGATCTCCTCGCGGCTCCTCACGACCGTCTCGTTCAGCTCCTTTTGCACGACGTTACCGCCATTTCCGGTCGCAACACCACCTGCCGCCGGCCGCCAGTCGACCTCCTGCGGTTGATCCCCGGTCGTGCGTCTCTAAACACCGGTTCGCGGGACCGAGTTAAAAGGCACATTCCTTACGTGCGCGCGGGCGCGCGATGCTACAAAGGAAGCCGATTCTGATACGCAAAATGTATGCAGAATCGATGAACAATGGACGCGTGTCGAAAAGAAGTGGGAGAAAAAAAGACTCCGGCGATTTCGTCGGCGCGTTTCGTCAAAGTTACGTTTTAAAACGTTCGCGATCCGAAGCTTCCTTGGCCGTAGCGAAGGATGAGGAAATGAGAGAACGATTCGAGAACGCCAAGGACTTGGAGTTCTTACGAGATGGATTTTAAGAGTTTGTAATTATTTATATGTTTGTACATATCTAAAGTTTACATCGCTATACTTATCGTCAATAAAATCTGCTAGTAAATTTGTGACATGCGAACCTCCTGAGTCGTATGTTCCTGTTGCTCGACATCCTCAGTCGTGTTCGTAGTGACGAGGGGTCCGGAGTCGACGACGACCTCACCATCTTCGAGAACGACCTGCCGCTTCACTCTCGTCTCGATTTGTCGCGTGGTGGTGATCTCCTTTTTCTTGCGGGTCTCCCATTCCTCTGAAAGCCGGAAGCGGGCATTCTTTCAGCCTGGCTCGCAACACCGGCATTGTTTCGCAAAACTAATTTCTCGGTCCCGAACAAATGGACATAAAACGCGGGCGATGAGCCGACGATGGAGAAATGTCTTTTGTGCCTTTGTCGACGTTGCTGTCATAACTACCGTGAGTTCGCATTTCGAGCTACATCAAATGAGCGACACAAACAGCTATGCACCGAGTAAACAGTTACTTTTACTATCGCGATGTTTATCTAATAAGATAAACAAAATCGGAAAAAAAGGATCTTTTAAGTTGATTTTTGTTTCTTCAACTCACGATATCTAATCTTATATTTGACAAAGATGAGGGTTTGACAGATTTAAAGCCACTCAAATACTTGAAATTTTGGGATGTGACATCTTATGGTACTTAATCATTTCTCTATTGTTGCGTTTCAACATCAGAAGTTTGAATTAGTCAAGGTTACGAAAAGATTACGAAAAGATATTTTGATAAAATATTTTCTTGTAATTTGAGTATGTTTACAATGTGTTGTGAAATACCTTTTACTATTTTGCAGTTACCATGCGAAATAATGTATTCGCTTTTCTGATTATGTGAATATTCAGTATTAACTGTTTAATTAATACTGTTTAATTAAATGTTATATCGATATTAACAATTATTGTCTTAATAAATTTTCAATTTATGCGCTGGCATAAACGGCCATAGATTATCATTTTCTCTCGTAGATTAACATTTCTGTTCGAAGAATTTACCTTCTTTGATTAATGCCACAGAGTTCTCAGGGTCAACCTGAAAAAGGAAACAATACGTATGTAAATCCGCCTACGAGCGAGAGTCCATCGGAGAAGCAATTCCTTTCGGCTAAGGACATTCCGGGGAAGTTACGTATCGCGAGAAGTACGTCTACCGCAAATAACTTCGCCGTAACCGCTTTCTTACTCCATGTTACACGCGACTAAACTCCTGACCGACACCCGGCAGATTCCAATCCGACAGGGACGTTAACGTGAAGAAGGATTCATTCGCAAGATTGACTTCGGTGAATGAATGCGCGAGCGATTCGCAGAAAATTACGTCCACCACAATTACACGAATTATCAGGAATATTGACTTTGCTAGATTTAATTAAACATTGAAAACATCATTGTGTTCAAACAAATTTTTTATTAAACATGAAAACAAATCAAATACAAAAATTGATGTATTTGTTTACTAAAATAAAAATTTTTATTATATAAACCTTAATAATTTTTCGATCAATTCTATCTTTCGTCTTTCATCTTCCACTCGGCAGACTTTTACGTTGGTCCCGATAGATTTAGTCTCGAATAAATTCGTTTTATTAACATTTCGTGAATTAAATTTTTCAAACGGGTACAAATGCGGGCGCGAGAATGTGAATTCTGGAGGAGAAACGCGCGAATATCTGAGAAAATGCATTCTGAAGAGAAAATGTTACTTACGAGAATAGAGGAGTGGGTATTCGCCGGTGGACGGGCCTCGTATCGGCGTGTCGAAATCACCTCCATCATTCGATCATGTCTGTTACAAAGTCTTGATGTTCCTGTCGGGTTACTCGAGCGGTCGTCACGAGGAGGAATTCAACCGACAAACCATGAGTAATTGCTGTTCACATAAAAAAAGAAATATTTTCTATTACAATTGTATCAAAATAATAATTAATATGAACAAAGAATTTGAAAGATTGGAAGCACAATAAAAGTAAAGGTGAATGCTTGGACCAACATAATTATTCTTCTATAGTTTCAATGAAACGGTACGACATAGCAAACCTTGAACAATTTTTTGGAATTCATTCAACATCAAGTAAAAAAAAAAATGATAAGGAGTGATAAAGAAAAATATTCTAGCCATCAATCGCTAGATATCATCTCGTAATCTCAATATCAAAGATTTCAAAGCAAGATTATACTTGAATGTGAACATTGTGAACATTGTTCGACATGTGTCAGATGTCCCGAGATGTCGGAAAGAACGTCACAGTTCGATGATAAAGGGATTCGAGCCGAGATATTAGCCTTACGCCGCGAGCGCAGCATCCCTCTTCCCGTTCTTCCGCTACGTCGACGCGCGTGTGAGGAACACGCAGCTCGCGGAGCTGCAAGCTGCAATAATTCATCAGAGGAGTAATAATTCAAGAGGAGCTCTCTCCGCGTAGAGAGAGAGAAGTCGAAGGCCGCGGTGGCACGCGGGCCTGTGGTCGCGACCGCCTCGATATGGTACATGCGGTACGATATCGAGAGATGGGTAAGAAAGACACGTACGACCACTTGCCTATGTCCTATATCAATAGCGTAAGTGACTCGTGCTTTTTCTAAAAGCATTCGCGAGTCCTTGATCGAAGAGTTTACACGATTAATGCCCGATTTCCACCAACATAGATTTAATTTTTAATAATTTAATTTTGGTTTAATTCTTAAGAACTAGAAAAAGATGAAGAGTAAGTTGAACAAAGATTAAAGTTAATCTACGTTGGTGGAATCGGGCAAAAGCCACAAGAGGACGATTGACGCGTGACAATTAGTTTCTTCTCTCTCGCTGCAGCTCTCGACAAAAGATTTAAATTTTCTGGCTTCACAATTGGATTTTCCGATCTCTAATAAATATTCATGTATATTGCGCGTATTATTTTTGTAACGTTTTATTTTTCTAAGTGTATCAGATTAAGCGTTCGGCTTAAGCTTGATTATCTCGAGTCATGGAAATGGAATAAAATTAATCTCCTCTAAAAAAACCTTTGCCTACGCCTCTGAACACTTGCGTCCTTGCGGTTGAAATACGCACGCGGTCTCCCTACCTCAGACTGTGGACGGGTACGTATAAGTATTTAAATTTCTTTTTTCTACCTTTATATGATCTATGATCGTAAAGTGTGGTTTTGAAACGACTGCACATTAAATGTGATTTTTAAGCACTTCATAGAAGGCTACGATATACAGACGTCATATAATCTCTTAATACTCTATGCGCTTAACTTATTCATTACTGTTAATTATAACATTTTTAATTGAATGATGCTTATTTTATCGTACAATTAATCATGTAGAAAATAGATCTTAATAAATAAATTAATTTTTTTGAGAATAAAAAGTTTTCGAAAACATCTCTACACTTGCCACTCGTCGTGTCGAATGTAGAAAAATTACTTTGTAAAAAAGTTCAAAGATCATCCTTTGTTTCTCCGTTTTTTTCATTGTTTCGCGACGGACATCACATATAAATGTCCGCACGCCAATAAAAACGTTTTATATCTTATAAATAGAGCTAGGAGGACTTGCATGCGTCTTACATTGACAACACGCTTCTTTGGTAATCCGCCATACAACCATGTTAGTCTCACCTTATTGGATATGCGTGTGACGTCAGGGATGCGTCAGCGCGTAAAAGCGAACAACTCGAAAAGTCCGTGACATTTCACGCACTCTGTCTAGAATGGGATAAACTCTCTCGTGAGAGTAATAGTAAAAACACGCATAAAGAATAATGTCATTATCCTTAATAGGCCGTTAAATTGTATCCTAATAGAAAGTGGCAATTTCATTTCTTCTTCACATCTACAGTTTGTTATCTTTAGTAACATTTCTTTACGTAAACTGATCAGATAATCGATACAACAGAATTCCTGGCATACAAATTGAAATATGAACGTTAAAAGCTTTTCACAATTTCTTTCATCATTTCACGACATTCATGATACTTCTATAGAAAGACTTTTAGAAAACATTTTTCAAATTTGTCGCAATGTTAATCTGTTCGAAAAAAATTAAAATCTATTTTTAAGTCGTTTATAAGTCTCTTACAATAAATATATGCAGTCGCATTTTAAGGAAAAACAGATCAGATGAATCCATCCTTCGGAAAGCTACATCGACAGACAGTTTCACTAACGTCTCATTAGCTTCGAGCGCAAATCCACCGCGGCCTTGATCGCACGCGTAAATGTGACGCGGACAACGGGAGATGAAATTGACGCTAATCGACAGTGGCGAACATTTTTCTTTGCTAAATAGATCAAGATGAAACGCGCGCGGGAGGTTTGAATCGCCCGACTACCGCGGCGCGTCGTCGCGGTGATTTCAACGCGCGGCGAAACCGCGCGAAAATGCGCCGCGAGCGAAATGGTACCAGCGACCTGCGGATGGCGAGAGCGGCTAACAAGTGGATGCGGACGGAGCGGCGATGCTGCCGGACACGTGACCTCGCCAAGGACGTCGCCATTTTGGTTGAATATGCGAAGCGGGCTCGTTCGATCGCGCTCGAATCCATTTTAGGACCGCGCGACACTGAGAATCTATCACTCCGGGAACTGGTACCTTGGCTTTCACGCCAAATACAGCTTGAGGTCGACGTTACGTCGGTGACCGATCGTGCGGTCGCTCGTTATCAGCGTCGGTGACCGATCGCGATGAAACGCCGCGGCTCGATAAAACACCCGGAACGTGGCCTCGCACCGCGCTCGCCGTGCACTGGGAAGATTCTCATCGCTCCTGCCGCACGGCTCGTTATGTAAGAGGCTGACAATGCCACTCGCGTAATATCCACGGCGAGGAAAAGCCGTTCGCCGATGCGTCGGCCGATCCTTTCTCGGAAACGCGAGATACGCGCGCGTAATCGGTACGGCGCGTAAAAGAGAGATCGTACGAGCGTGGGATGTTGGAGATCCCGGATATCCGAAATATTTAGATGAAAAAGAGAAAAAAAAATAAAAATGAGAATGAAGGGAAGAAAGGAAAATAGGAGGACCGTGGCCGCTTGTTTACACTCACCTACACTCCGCGATATCTCGCACGTTCTTCGCGCGTTTATCCTCGCGGGATGCTGCGGGATTCTCCAGGGAAATCGGACACGATACTTTGAGACATCAACGACGTTTCAATTCAACCGACGAGCGTTTCCCGCGTGCCGCGGAGAACCGATCGGATTTTGCGTCTCTAACGAGAGGCTGATTCAGATGATGGAGCGTGAACGAGCGCGTTGCTCATGACGCGCGAAACGAAAGTACTCGACGAGACTCGCGCCGCATGCTTTCGCGCCAGCGCTCGCGATACTGTCCGACCGTCGAGTACTTTCTGACAGATCCACCTGGGGCACCTCAGGCTCGAGTCTAGCAGGTGAGGCGCCCCAGAGTGCGTGGTCCACCGCACCTTGGGAAATACTCCTTCGACGCGGGAAGCCACCCAGTTGAAAGACGAATATCAGATCATGGCGCATCGTCACGCAAATCTTTCAGGTCCACGAGAGAGATCTGGACGGTTCCTCTTTCCCGAGGTTCCTTAAAAAGGGAATATCTTAGGCGTACCAGTTTGCGTTGAGAGCGCGAATAGTAAACGGGAAAGTTGCAGAATAGGAAAACAAATGCGTAACTGGAAAAATATTCATTATAAAATGCTAAAGTTCTTCGTGTGGAATATCGGAGAGAAGAGTTTTTAGAATTTCTAAACGATCGAGATTGGCTCGGATTTTATATCTAAGCTAAGCAGTTGAATATATCTCTCTATTAATATTATTATCCGTAATGGATCTCATACACACGTATATATATATACACAAGTAGATTTCAAATAAATTAATTATTCGCTCAATTATTGAATTATATTACGAGTGTAAAAGTTACTCAAGCACGAAATAAAAACTTTCTTGTATGCACAAGGAATTAAATTGAGGACCATTAAAAATGCATGAAGGAAAAAAATTGCATCAACACACACATTCATAAAACGAGCCACTTGTTTTTCAATTGGATTTATTCATTATTCCGAAAGAATTCCAGAAAGATTCCATTTAGCGAGTAATATCAGCACGTAATTAGCGCAATATTGTTTACGTTATATCCGAGCGCTCTAAAAAGTGCTCGAGTAGATATTGCAGAGAAATTATCGGCTCTTTCCAGCGCACTGGTTATTTTATTAAATCGTTTTAAGTGCTTATGCTATATAT